GAGTTATCCCTTACAGAAAACCAAGTCTCCCTCTCCCAGAAACCATTAACTATCAACAGCCCCTCAGCAGGAGGTAGGGGCTCTTAAGTTTCTCCTCTCCTCCATGCTGGAAGGCCAACTGGTTTGCTCTAGACTGTAATAGCAAGACATGGCATAGATGCAATAGTGGTGTGAATGTTATGGGAATAACCAACCACTTTCTGCTTGGACCTAAGACCCATGCCACAGGAGGAAACACATGCCTGGAACTATAAATCTGGCCAAGAACCCATGGTTTGGGAGCTCTTTGGCCTCAGGTGATCTTATTTCTATGATTCTGCTAACTGGAATAGCATCAGAATATTCTCTAAATTCATCTTTTGTCTCCCATCCAAGTACTCATACAATAGTGTAGTTCTCAGATCACATCAGAGGAGTTTCTTTGCTCGGCAGACAGCAGTCAACAAAGAAACTCAACTGGTCAAAGTGCAGCCCCTTCCCCATTTTTAAGAGGGAAAAGTAATGCTCCCTTCTCTCATGATACACAAAATTCCTTGAATACAGTTATTGACTATGTTCAACAATCATTTCGAGTTTTAAGCTTTATATGTTTTCCATTATGGGACAGACAAGTGATCTGTGACTTGTCTGAGATATGTTAAGTGGAAGTTTTTGGTTTCCAGTGGAGGATGTGTCACATAGATGTACAGGAGTCATGAAGCTGGTTTGGCCAGCATGGGTCAGGAAAGAGGCTTTTGTTAAAGCAAGAGCAGCCCAGATACTATGGGACAAGCATAATAGAAGCGGACATACCTACCCAAAGAAGCTAGAGATCACACATCAGGGACAGACAGATATGCTGTGTCTAAGAAAGCAATCATTAGAAACTCAGGACCAGACCCTTGAAAGTAGGCAGACAAGCCCTCAAATACAGAATTGACAGGTAAGGCAGACTCCATAGACTTTGTTTACATGTGCAGGTCTAAGAGTTAAGAAGGAATCAAACTGTGTTAGTGAAGGATGATGGGAAATATTTTTGCTATTTTGCGCATAAAGTTAAAGCAGAGAAGAGGTCAATGGGTGGACCCCACTTCTCATTAAAGACAGGATTCTATGTGAGGGTTCATTCACACAGAGTTTGTCTCCCCCTTAAAGTATGTCCAAATCACTCTTTCCTGCTCTGGTCCTGATGTGGCTTCTCTTCTGTAGAGTTGCCAGAGGGATAGAACATTCGAAGATGAGACTTTGTGGAAGATGCGCAGGTGATGGGGCGTTGCCCTTGGAAGGGATTAATACTTGCTTCTCAGAGTAGAGTAGTTCTCTGAGAATGAGTTGTTATAAAACAAGATTAGCCGTATTGACAACTTCTCTGGCTTCCTGTCTTACCACGTGATGTATTCTGGATGTATTCCCACCATCGTGATGCCACTTACTGTGAGGCTCTTACTAGAGCCAAGCAGATGTCAGTGCCATGATCTTGAATGCCCACAACACTCAGCTAATACATGTCGTTTCTTTGTGAAGTATCCAGACTCAGATATTTTGTTATAGTAACAACAACAACAAAATACCAACATGCTCCCCTTTTCAAATTTCCTACAAGATGGATGAAAATAAGTAAGGAATAAAATATTTGTTTTTATAGACTGTCTGTGAAAATAGTTAATACACTATTCAAAATCCTAGAATGGATCTTTCATGCATTACTTTGATGAGGAGAAATTGGCAGAATAAGTAACAAAATCATACAATTGTCCATGTAAATTCATTTTATTAGAGTCTTATGTGCTATAGCAATGTAAACAACACAGGAATCCTTCAAAAACAATTATTATTAACAGGAAAACAATGTTTTAACGAGCAAAGAAATCTATTCAAAGTGTAAAAAAACAGATTTATTGACTGACATTATAATCTACCAATCTATGTTGCAATGAACTCACATGAAGCAAAGGTGGTATGGTTAGTAAGGACCTGCCACCCATACGTTCTGTTAAACCAGTGACTGGAAAAAACATTAAAGTGAAGAAATGTGACATTTGTGAGTCAGCAAAAGCCACTAAGTCCTGAGACTTTAGTTTCTCAGGCGGCACACACTACTGATAAATAGTGGGTAAAGAGCAAGACAGAGGGAGTTACTCACACAAGATGGAAATAACTCAGACCAACAGCACATCCCTGTGACCCCCTGAAACTCTCCCTGGCCTCATCTGGCCGAAGCTTCACCAGTCCCTGCCCTTCCACTGCTCCCCCTCCTCCACCACTGTCTCTGTTTGACTTGAAGACATCGCCATCAAAATTCTGCTGGAAATACACGCTCACAGTATAATGTTTAATGAGTTAACATTTAAAACCTTTTGCATTCTTGGTAAATCAGACATCTGGTGCAAGAGTATTACTATGTTGACTGTATGGCCTTGAATTTAGGATCCTTTTGTCTCAGTGAACTAAGTGCTAAGATTTTAGGTGTGGTACATCATTTGTAGCTTTAAGAGAGGTTTCTCTTTTTTTTTTTTTGCATAAATTTTTGTTAATTTGTAAACCCAATCATCCTGCATGAATACCCTTTCCTTCAAGAAAGCTTTATTTCTGGACTAGATGGATAAGAGCCACAGATAATTCATGAATTACACATGCACACAAGTATGAGAAAACAAGGCTGTGTATGTGTGGTACTTTCCAAAGGTCAAAAGAGAAAACGCCCATCCATGAGGCTGGTCGTGTTATTGGGGTTTGCAGCCAGCCTCTGGGGTGGAGGAGCTGTTGCAATGATGCACAGCATTGCAACACAAGCCATGCTCACTCACACCATGGCTGGGTGGGGTTAAACATCTTTTCATGAGTATGTAATTGTGGGGTTCTTTTTGTGCCCTGGGAGAAGTATCACATTGTCGATGAAAAAAAAATTGGAACAGTACTTTATCAGAGTTATTATACTATTTTTATTTCCTGGAGAAAGAAGGGTGTCCTGGAGGAGAAGCATATCCAGGCTAAATCCCTACATTTCTTAGTGACAGTGGCATTTTCCCAATGCTCAAGTATTTCCTAGCTAGGTAGGGTTCAGATTCAAGCTTCAGGTTTTCACCCCAAATGCTTCCTTTTTTACACACAAATAAACTTCAGTCATGTATATTTGAAAATCTAAGTCGTGTGTTATATATGTTCAACAGGACATATATTCACCTCGTGTGTTTAATTCAGTTTGAATGCAATCTTCACTCTCTCTTACTTAGCAGATCCAGCCGTGATTTTTGAACCAGATCTGGGCAGCCATTATCCTACTTGTCGATAAAAGGCCATTCCAAGTCCCACAGGTATTTCCATGTAACTTGCTCCCACTCACTGTTTCTTCTTCTGTCCCCTCCCCACCGCCTAGCGACTCCCCAGGTTTGCTGAGTGACCATTTGTCACTCATCGGTCTGGATTTAGAAGTTGGTTTGGTCCTTCCCTCTTCCGTTTTCCCACCCAGTGAGTCAGAAAGCACCCTGGATTTTCCTGCGGAGGGCTTCTCCTTTCCTTTATTCCTCCTGCCTGGCCGGAGCTGAAAGCTTCATCTCTCAGCTCCTCTAGCTCCTGGTCATCCTGACTTCCTGTTCTCACCGACACCGTAGACACTGATTTCAAATACAGTCGTGAACTCGTCACTTCGCTGCTTAAACACTTTCCGTGGCTGACCCGAACGGAGTGGAAGAGTTCCGGCACCCAGCGCGTCCTCAGAATCCTTCAGGAGTTTCTCCTACACACCTCTAAGGCTCAGTTCTTGCTGTTCAGGGCACTCCGTGCCCTATGAATAAACTTGGTATCATTCTTTTTGTCTCTGCCTATACATTCCTTGTAAATAATATCCTCTGTTTATACTTCCTTCATAAAATTCTAGTTATTGAAAATTCAGCTTCCATGTCAACTATTTAGTGGTGTCCATATAACCACCAGACATTTGCTTACCACTGTCCCAGGCATACAGTCAATTCTGGCCCCAGCCACCACCTTGAGAAGTATTGAACCTCCTTGTGCTTCAATTTCCTTGTCAGCAAAGTGAAAGAATATATATATCTCACAGGGTTGCTGTGGCATTTCAGTAAGATTGCATATAGTACCACCATCAGCCTCCAGTCATGGTATTTGCCAACAGGCTCCTTTTGTTACTGTCTTAGAACCCTTTAGAATACTAGGAACTAAAAAATACTAGGGAGTAGTTGCTAAGGATCAGAGCTTGTGATTTTTATCTTCCAAAATGTCTTGCTGATTAATTGCCATCCCAAACAGGAAGATGTGGGCTAGCACACAGTTCCTAAGCTACACACAAAGCTCTCTATCACTTGACTGTCTATACTCCTGTCATGGTTCCTGTGGAGCCACATCAGACGTGTGACATGGTAGGGCTCAGAGGTCACCAAATTCCTCTGTCAGGTCAATTAAACAGAAAGTCAGCTTTAAACAACTAAAACAAAACAAAACAAAACAACTTCTCTATTGAAAAGAAATATGTGTACATGTTTGTGTGGATGAACATGTCACATGTGTGCAAACACCACAGTAGGATGCTGGCTTCCCCGTTGCAGTCACAGGTGGTTGTGAGCCACCCAGTGCGAGTGCTGGGAACTGAACTCAGGTTCTCAGAAGACCAGGAAGCACTCTGAACCACTGAGTCATCTCTCCACCCCCAGAATGCCTGCTTTTCACCGCGGTCACAGCTACAGCCTTGCTTTGAGGCTAAGGGTCTGGGTTGCTTTGAGAAGAGCTCTCTCAGCCATCATGCAACTTGGCTGGCACTGCCAAGGCATTTACCTCTTTTCTAAACCAACCCGAAGTCAATCAATTTTTACAAGTAATAGATTAACTCAGCTGTTATTTAATAAACAAAACGGGTTACTGTCACTCAGCATTCAGGAGGCTATGACAGGCAATTTCAGATCAGCATGGGCTGTATGGTTATATCCTGTCTCCACTGCCATGAAGGAATAAACAAATAGACCAACAGGCTGGGTATGGAGGTTTGTGTCTCTAATCCCAGTACTCAGGAGGCAGAAACAAAAATTCAAAGCCAGTCTGGGTCTGCTTAGTGAGACCTTGTCTCAAAAATACAAAACCAACCAACACAAATTTTCATTAAAAAAAAAAAGAAAAGAAAAAGAAAATCTACCTTAATTGTTCATACAATATGTCTAAATCATTTTAACTCCATGAACAAACATATCTTACCTTAAAAAAAGCAAAAATGAAATGGCTTTGAGTTGAAAAGATTCTTCAGTGGTTAAGAGCACCTGTTGTTCTTATAGAGGACCCAGATTTGATTCCCACCACCCACATGGTTACTCATGACCATCCACAGCTCCAGTGCCAGGGGACCTGGTGCCCTCTTCTGACTTCCTTGGGCATTAAGCACACATGTATACACAATCACACTTGCAGGCAAAACACTCATAACATAACATAACATAACATAACATAACATAACATAACATAACATAACATAACATAACATAACATAACATAACATAACATAACATAACAAATACATTTTTTAAAAAATGAAGTAGCTTTATTAAATAGTAATAGACTGGGTTGTCTTTGTAACTTTACTGTGTAATGTAGAATATGTAAAGTTATACATGTCTGGCTTGTATTGAGTTCCCAGTCAGAAGATAAATTACGTATTTATATTGGAGTCCAATAATACTTAATAACATGTCCAAGCACTTCTTTTTCTTGTATCCCCCTTTGAGCCAAGGTCCTACACTGACTTTCAACTCACTGTGCAGCCCATCCAGGCCTCTTGAACTTGCCCTCCTCCTGCCTCAGTTTCCTGATGCTGAGCTCACAGATGCATGCCATCATGCTTAGCTCACATCCTCTTTTGTTATAACATATATGTAAAAATTTCTTGCTATGGATTAAATTTTGAATAAGAGTTTTTATATATTTTAAATTAAAATATTCATAATTCATACCTCAATTGAAATATGTAATTTTGTTTTGACAATGTCACATGTAGCCCAGGTTGGCCTGAAACGTGACATGTAGCCAATGAACTTCGGACCCTCTTTGCCTCCACCTCTCAGGGGCCAGGGTCACCAGTGTGCTTGGCTTATGTGATGCTGGGGGTCAAACCCAGGATTACACTACACACATGGAAGGTAACCACTCTGCTAAGGAGCTACATCCCCAGTTCAGTTTTTTTTCCTTATAAGAATATTTCCAAAAAATACAAAAAAAGAGGTTTTTCATTTACTTTATTTTGGGAGGTTGTGGTGTAGAAAAGTGATCCCAGCAACTTCTGCATAAAATCAAAATGTCAAGATTTTTCTTTGTAAAGCAATGGTATGCTTAGTAGCAGCAAGCACTAACATAGCAAACATGTGTTATTTACATATTCGTGAAGGATTCTACCTGAGCAAAGCCTGCTTTCTGGTACCTGAGTTACCTATGGAAACCTGTGGGTGCCCTAAGCTAACTGAAGGGGTCACAAAGTGCATTCTTTCCTTTGTGCTTTTAGCTTGGTGATGGGGTGACTGCTTAAAAGGACTCAGGGAGAACATACAAAAAGGGCTTTGTAGTCACGAGCGAAGGCTCTGGCAGGTTAGAATTGGTTTTCAATGTTTCTTTTGAGCAGTTGCAATTTATCTCCCACGGAGGAAACCCCACTGTTGATATTTAGCATAACTGCAGGAAGGTGAGAAGAAATATCCCCAGTCCCTCTGCCTGTCTGAAAAGGCTAAAAATAATAGCTGATAATGACTAGCTGCTCTCCTCCTCTGCCTGGGCTTTTTCTGGTACCTTCCATGGGCCCATGCACTAAAGCTGCCCTCATGCCCTGGGCAGAACACGTATTTTCCCCACTTTACAAAAGAGAAAACTGAGGCATCCAACGTTTATGCAAGACGGACAGTGTGCTAATCAACGAATATGTATTTCATGGTTAGAAGCTTAACCCCTGTAAGACTTCCTGTGTGGGTTTCTGTAACTGGAATTATCCTCAGCTCATGCCAAGGATTAAGTATTTAGAACTTTTTTATATGCCATCTTTCCACTTTGAAGATGGTAAAAAAATGATTATATTGTTAGACTGTTTTTTTTAACATTACAGGTGAGCACTATTTAGAGTCTATAATTAGTTTGTCATAGATGAAATATAATTAGAATTAATGAGAAAGAAGATTTAAAAATCTGAGGCTCTCTTAGCAATAATTTTCTTTCTTGTTTTTATTATTTTAAAAACTAGTCAGCTAGTGATAGCTTTTCAAGGAACATAACAAGAATATGTTACAAGGACAGATCACAAAGAAGAAAAAGTTTTAAAAAACCACTTCCATGAAATTCACTATGGTGTCCCATGCCTGTAATCTCAGTAATTGGGAAATGGGGGCAGGTAGTTTATGAGTTTGAAGGCAGCCTGGGCTACACAGCAAGTTCCAGTCAGTCTCAGCTACATAGTGAGACCCATTTTTTTTAAAAAAAGGTTATGGTCGGTGTCACACTTGGTCAGTGTCACACTTGGTTGGTGTCACACTTAGTGTGGAATACAAAGTGCAGAATCCAGCCGAACACACAGGCTGGCAGAAGCTATGAAGTTGTTACTTTATGACGTGCTTGGAAAACAGCTCACACTGTTGACTTTGACCTAATTTCGTCAGTGTAATTTTGTTCTTTTTTTTTTTTTTCAAAATGTAATTCGAGCTTCTCCTGAAGAGGAAGTGGTTCACGGAAGAGCACAGCACATGGTTTAAGTTTGCTGCAATGTGTAGGGGAGGAGGGAGGAAGCCAAGGTAACATGAAACAGGAAACGGAGACATCTCTAATGAAACAGAGAAGACAAACTAACTCAACTTGACCAAGAACGAAGACAGAGGAATTTAGGGAGGGATCTGACCTGCTTTGCACAGCACACCCAAGATAATGACAACCTTAGGAAGCTACTGAGATTGCTGGACAGTGACTGTGGTCACCAGACAACACAGACTGACCACGCCCATCACAGGGGAAACTCTATAGACACTGCGTTTGTACTTCTGTGTACGGTCATGTACCGAGAACATCCAACACAGCAGCCTTCTTTCACAATTATGTCATGGGACAGTGAGATGACAAAACATTGGTAAAAAGAAAGTAACCCCAGAATGGCATTTCAGTAACTTAAACACGGAGGGGCTGCTTCTAAAAAGCCTTAGACGTTGACACGTGTGTGTGCCTGCAAAACTCGCATGTATGCATACACACACACACACACACACTGAACAATGAGATGGGCTACTACAGTTATAAAAGAATATATATACTATTTATTTTTATACATTTTAAAAATATTACTATTATTATTATTTTACCTGATCTGGTTATGTAACTCAGGCTGCCCTCAAATTCAAAATCCTCCTTCCTCTACCATCCCAGTGCTGGGACTACAGGGGCGAAACCATCAGGCCCAAGAGGATGACTTTCAAATGGATTTATTTCCAAGTTGCCTTGCTTTTGTGTGAACTCGAGAGGAGGGGATGAACAGAGCCGAACACTCAGCCAAGCCAAGCTCCCCAGTGGTAAGGAGAGAGATAACTCAGTCAGACCCCATGTACTTGAACACACCTCAGAAGGAAAGTCACACGTAGCACAGGGAAACCAGGCTGGCTGGCAGGAGTACCACACTCTCCCATCCTCCCAGCCGAAGGCTTTTCTGGATCTCTGGGAGACAAGCAGTGGGCTCATCTCAGTTGGACATACTGGGTGTGAAAAGAGCTTTCTAAATCTTGGGGTGTTTTTAAGTTCCCCTTTATTTCTTCTTGAAAATGTCTATATAAGGAATGGGAACTGTTTTGA